AAAGGCTCTGACTCAAACTGATGTTACGCTTCATTAGCAGAAATTTTATTGACCATACAGGCTACTTGGCCAACAGGTTTTCACAGCCAAAGTCGTAGTCCACATGGCTGGCTGTTGGCTCATGCGCTGTATTTTTTGTAAATTCCAACGAGAGAAAGTTTGTCTCATAGCAGCAGGGAGACTGTTCATGTTGGCTCGCCGGATGAAGGATTGGAAAACTGTGTGTAAGTTGGCTTCAGGCCCTCATTACATGCATATAATCCCATGTGGCAAGCTTGGTTTCTGTCAGGACAGGAGAGCAGTGTGGGAATGAGCAGGTCCAGATTAGATGCAGAACCACATTACTGCTGAGCAGCTTTCATCTTGTAGCATATCTGCTGTATCATCAGTCGAAATCGGCTTCACAGAGGAGTCATGAAAGAAGCATATGACTCCATGATCTGTCAGTTTCGGTGATGATACATATCTATGACAGTGACTCCACAGGCACATGGAGAGCTGCAGAAACAAAGATCTGACAGTTTGAAGATACACATCTATCAAAAGCAACTGGGAGGCAGAGACCTCTCACCCACAGCGTCTCGATCGCCGGGGTATGAATAAGTCATAAATCTGAGTGTCTGTGATGTGCCGTGAAGTGTAAAATACTCCTCCCTCCGCACTCACATAAACACAGAGAAAATCTTGACCTTGCCAAGGCGATGTTGTTCAAACACTTTCCCAGCAGTCTGCCCAACAACCAGCAAACAAGCGGAAAGTATTCATCAGTTGCAGGATGTAGTGACCTTTCTGCTCGCTTAATGACTCTGCAGCACGTGCACACACATACACATACCTGCATAGACAGGACGTTCAAGCAGGCAACCACACACACACACATGCAAATCACTACAGGTTTCGGTTAGAATCTCAGATTTGTAAATTTTCTAATGGCTGCCAAAGATGTTTATCTGTAACCCCTCTGATGTGTCTTAAATGATCAAAAATGGTGAGGAAGCCCTACTAGACACTTCCTCTAAGTAATCTGTTCTTTACCTCACTAGAAAAAGTCCCCCTCAAGTTTTCATCTCCCTCTGAGTGCAGTCTTTAGTGAGACTACAGAGCGTCATGATGAGGTATGAGTGATTACATTTTCTGTAAGTGCTGGTGCCTCGACGAGGTATGTTCAGGCTCCATCCCTGTAGTTTAAAGAGGCAGAGCTGCTAATTTGTGGGCGTTGTAGTCTTAACAGACAGCACCATGCCTGGGCCTGGATGGACTATAATCGGCTGCAAACTGAAGACTCAAGAGAGAAACTAAAACTGTAGCCTGGGTGACTGAAAACAAAAAGTTGTTCAAACAAACACACATACAGTATATACATGTGTATATATAGATCCACATTTACATACATACATTTATTCAGGATGCAAACCCATTTTAAACCCAACATTTTATTGTATTGTAGTGCCTGCTATAAATAGTGCTAAAACACTGTCTGTGTGAAAGCATTGTAACTTCTGGCTAATGGAAACTGATAACAATAAGGAGTGTGAGGTCTGGAATAAACTCAAGCGCCATAATAGAATAGGGCACTCCCCAAACCGTCCTGAAACACATAAACACACTTCAAACACCTGATTATATTCTCCCTATAACTATAACTCGCTGGATTCACAAATCTAAAAATGTTTCTTCAGACATTCCTTTCATACTTTTTGTGTAAACGTGGGTGAAGGACGACGGTTTAGATTGAAAGACGATATCTCGACAGATCTTCTCAATGCGTGACTGTGCCTCAGAGGCTGTTGGACGGACACTGATGCTTCCTGTTTGCTTCCTGTTTATGTCTGCCATTTCCTTTTTGGCTGATAATGAATAGTAACGTTGCTGCAGCTTCTTTATTCTGTTGATATAACTTCACTCAGATCAGTTGTAACTGGAATGCACTCCCTCAGTGTATCAAGGTGGGCTTATGTGTAGACCGTGTGTTTTGGCTGAGGGGTTAGGATGTAATATGGTTGAATGGTAGAATGAGAATAAAGCCAACTGTCTGTGGAGATGTGCTCCTGAAATTCTGCAGTAGACGGAATAAGATGAAATTGAATGCTACAGATAGGCATCACTGTCAAACTCGAGACAAAACAAGCTGTGCACAAATTACAAGCACAAATCTTCACACTGAAAAAAAAACTGTCATAACTGCAGCAGAACTACTTGAAAACAAAAACTGTGAAATGCAGACATCCAGAAATCCCGCTGAACTGAATCACCCTGCATCTTAACTGTTTCAAATCTCATACCTGCTCCTCAGATGTTGTCATGCCTGTGACTTTGTTATCATGACCTAATTCTGCTGGTTTGTAGTTGACCTGAACATCAGATGAATCAGTAGGCTAAGCCTTTTTAGCTGCATGAGATAATACTTATTTTGTAGCCTGGGAAATGTCTGAAGTGTTTTGCCTTGAACTGACTCAGATCATATCAGACAATATACTGTACAACATCAGTGTTCATTCTTTGCAGATGTGGAGGGATGATTTACCACCCTAAATGGAGGCTGGCGGGGATGTTATGTGTAACCTAATACCGCACTTATTCCCCTCAGGGCATCAGAGTGACTTAATGAATGTTTTGGTGCTGAATCTTTCATCGCCTCCAGAGTGACACATCCCGCAAGAATTAGAGCGATAATTTGATAGAACAGCCCACTCTCATCAGTTTAACAAGGCACCCTTTCAATTTATGTGAAAGTTATGAATTTATTAGACTGAGGCAAAGCCTGATTTATAGTTCTTCTCATAACGTACAGACTGGAGACATTTTTAAAGCTTCACTTCACCCCAAATACAAAAAACTTGCTTCTCGTTTATCACAGATTTGGAGATGCTAGTTTCTGAGATTTCTGCATCCATCCTAGTATATTGGAGGGGACATAAATTTAGTTGATATTGCTCACAGAATTGAAGAATTATATTTAGATAATCTCATCAGCACCTTGACTTTCTAGAAAATGGGTCCTGTTATTCTGGATAATCCACAAAACTCACTGTCAACAGTTCAGAGGGACTATTTCTTCATCGGAAAGAGGCGCTCAAGAACCAGAACACTGGAATGACACTGAATTTTATAAGATATATTTTCTAACGGCCTGTCTCCAGTAATCGCTGCCCACATCTCTGATTTGCTCAGCAGTTCAAATGTCTTTAGGTCTTGTGTTGTGCTCATTGATGGCTACAGTATTTAGTATTTAGTTGGGGAAACAATCAAACAAACAGAGCTTTGTAGGTGGGACTTCATCTTCCTATGCCACAGCCAGAGAGATAAATGAAATCCATGAAACAGTAGTGACAGAAATGGAAACAAAAATGACATAAATAACAATAAGAAATCAGGTAAACTGTATAGATGATATGAAGTTGGCTTACAGAAGTTAATCACCAGACTTCTACCACAGCTTCTGTGTTGACTAAAAATGATCCTGGTGTGACGGATTCGTTATCTGCCGTTAAATTTTTAGGGCAATAATTGCCTCAGAATTTCAGAGACTGATATCTCATATCTCTGTCTGGGCAAATAAAACCAACACTATCTGCATGGCTAGATACAGACAGAGATGAATTAGAAATAGTTTTTGTAATTTGGTTGAATAGACCCTTTAAACTTCTTGCAGACTTGGAAATGTCAAGACTCATCCTGGCTCCACTAGTGAATGAGATTCACCAACACAGCGGAGATGACCATGCTGCATCTAAACCAGACCCCACATATTTTCCCGTGTGTCTCATAACGCTGGATCATGACATCAGAAGGTCTCTGAGAAACCTCACATGAGACCACGGCTGTGTCGAGGCCAGTGTGGCCATGGCAACCAAATCATAACATAGCAACAATATCACAATCACTTTGATTGGGACAGACACTCACTCAAAAATACAATTGAACACTCACACACACACACACACACACACACACACACACACACACACACACACACACGATTGAGACTGTGAAAATATCATCTTTTAGGAATTTGTAATTAAGTTTTGATTGCTGTTGGATAATGAACAAAGAAAATCGATTTCTTGCTGCGGCATCACAAAATAACATAATAAAATGATACAATAAAAGCCAATAACCACTGCCTCTGATTTATTACATGTTTTCAGACTGTAATCTAGATAGTGAACCCAATGATGGAGATCCAGTCATGTGTGTACTTGCCACAGCAGTCAGGATTTGGCATGCGGTACTGTATGTTACTGAGAAATGCGGCATGGCGTAACGGAGCTCTGCACTGGCCTGTGTTGACAGCTGCTCAGCGGCAGAACACACACGGCACGGCTCCTGTCATTTCGCAGATAAAAATCAAACGCACAAAGACCCAGTAGTCATGAGTAAAATGACAACGGTAGAAACTCTGTCGTCGCCAGCAGTTATGTGTGGGTGTGATACACCATGGCTGTTTCAACAGACATCTGGAAGTGTTGCTCAAGGTTGCACTCACTCACAGCTGGCTAGTAGTGATTGTGAAGTAGCACTCTGTGGGAAAATCTTGGGTGAGGATGGGTCTGTTTGATGACAGTGGTAAAATTTGGAAATCCTGTGGGGTGTCCAGCAAACACAAGGGAGTTTGATGATTCATAGTGGATGGGAAATGAGTGTGGTGATCCTTATTTCTCCCCCTTACCGCATGTATCACTTACTCCACTTATGTATATAGATTCTGTGCGTCTCTGACCCTCATGTGTCTCTGTGTTTGTAGGTGTGCTTTTCGGGTGGTACCATGGCTGAGGGAAGCTGCTTTGGTGCGTTGTAGCTGTTTGCCTCAAAGAGGAAGAGGGTAAAGCGAAGAAGAAAGAATTGTGAGAGGAGGAGGGAAAACATCTGCCCAGAGAGGATAAGATCAGCAGCCCATCTGGATCTGAACAGGGAACCTACTGGACCTTTCTCTTTGTAAGGAAAGGAATTTGAACTTGCGATCAAAGCTTCAACAGGCTTCAAGATTTTTTTTTTTTTTTTTTTTTTTTTTCAATCATTGGTCGTTACTGTCTCAGAAAAATTTAACGCCATGTGCCATGTCATTGTAACATGCCGCTCCATGCTCTGGACACTGCTCAGTATCGTAGTGGCCTTTGCTGAGCTCATTGCCTTCATGAGCCCCGATTGGTTGCTGGGATACCCCCGGTCAGCCTCCAGTGTGACTGGGGCGAGTGTGGACTCCGGGGAGTACCGGCCGTCTCTCGGCCTCTACAGCCGCTGCCTTCGCGTCGGGTCCCGGGGACAAGGGATCAGCTGCGGGCCCTACGCAGGGACATTTGGAGAAGTGGCCAGTGGCTTTTGGAAGGCTGCCATGTTGTTTCTGGCAGCAGGGACATTGGTGCTAGGGTGTGTGGCCTGTATCTCCATCTTTAGCCTTTGTTTTCAGAGCATCCTGAAGAAGAGCATATTCAACATCTGCGGACTGCTCCAGGCTATCGCAGGTGAGACACGTCTCTCTGTCTGAGTAGGTAAAGGTGTTCAGTTATTATATGTCTGTGGCAGAAAAAGTAGTCCCAGATCTTCCACACAAATTGTGCTCTTGCTTATTAATTTCACTCAGACTGGAATGTATTTTACTTGAGTTTGTTGGCATTTTACCTTTTATTCAATATTGTACATTAGAGATAGAGAGAAAACATGAGAAAAGAGTGAGAGAGATGACATGTAAGAGGATACCCCAAAGTATGCCAGTATATATTAATAGTATATATTGTATACAACTTACACATAAAACTTAAATTCAAATGATATGAATATGATTCAATTATCTAGTTCTTATTTTCTAAGATACTTTAATGTCAGACGTTGAATGCCTGTCTGCGTATTATAATGCGACTGAACCAAAGTAAATAAAGAAACTCGCTTGTGAACATAACACGGGCAAACAAGGTGAAGAGCTACTAGGATTTCTGCCATAGAGGTATGAAATCTGACAGAAATGATCAAATATTTTGAAAAATTTATTTTTTCATTGCCACTCTTCCTAAAAAAAGTTTACAGTTGAAAAGGAAGGAAGTTCCCACTGACTTTGCCTGCTCTAAGCTGTATGTTCACTGTGCTCAGAAAAAGCAAGAACAAACCTCACCTGCTACCAAGATAATTCTAATAACCTGGGATCTGTGACATATGGTCTATAGTGGTTAAACATCTATGCAAGCATATTACTGTATGTTTTATTATCATGCCGTAACCTTTACGGAATTTCAGCATAGCATTTGATTTTACAAGGTGAAACATCTGAGTTTACAAGTTGGCAACATCTAGTGGCGTTCCATTGCACTTTTCCCTGTTGAAGGTTGGATAGTCCAACCAAGTCAACAATTGGCTCCCACGGGTGCGTTTGGCTCATCAGGCCTGGCGAGAAGGTAATCTATCATTACGTGACATCACTGTAGGGGGAGGTTCAAGTGGGGCCTTTCCTCTGATCACAAATCAAATGCTTGTTAGCTGAATCATAGACGTATTCTTCACCAGAACTGAGTCACCATGTTTCCAGCTGCACTGTGATCTGTGTGATCTGTTTGTACTCTCATCACCGATGTTTACATGTACGTGACTAAAACCCTTGTCTCATCGTCTGCTCTCCCCTCCAGGCCTGTTGCTGATGGTGGGCCTCATGCTGTACCCTGCCGGTTGGGGTTCAGAGAAGGTGATCAGCTACTGTGGCACCGAGGCCTCGCCCTTTAGGCCGTCTATGTGTTCACTGGGCTGGGCGTTCTACGCTGCGATCGGTGGGACGCTGGCAACCTTCCTGTGTGCTGTTCTGTCCGCGCAGGCTGAGATCGCCACCTCTAGTGATAAGGTTCAGGAGGAGATTGAGGAGGGGAAGAGTCTGATATGCCTGCTCTGAATCTTGGGAAATCATCCTTGGTGTCATCCCTCTCATACGGATACCTGGAAGGAGGACAGACATTTCTCTCAGTGATTTTCTTCATGATATCCTGAATAAAATCAGCTGATTTTTGAAAAGATAGATTTTAAAACTTTAGGCATGGTGTTTTCCTCTGATACTTGCTGAAGCCTACCTTAGTGTATAGAACATTACCCATACACTTATTCAGTGTTTTTTTTTTTTTTTTACCAAGATACTGTTTATTTTTGTAATAATTCTTGCTTTAAACAAACCGCTGTACTGGAGTAGCAGGAGATTAGTGTCATTGTGGACAGGTTAAACCCTGCCAGTAAAACAGTGTGTATGTTTGTAACATCATTATAATGTTCATTCACATGCTTCACCTGCAAACCACAACAATCCACTGAATACTAGCAGATGTGCCCTCTAAAACACGTAACTGTGTGTGTGTGTGTGTGTGGGAGTGTGTGTGTGAAAGACATTAACTATTAGGATTAGATTAGATGTCCATATGCTCTGATTCTGTGGCCCAGTAGGACAGTGAAGACTCCCTTGTTAACTTTAGACGTGCCACTTAAGGGATTGTTCACTTCAAAGGGAGTTCCTCCTGTTAAATGGATTGTTTGTGGGTCTATTGCAGCTTAATAACTGGCAGAGCGTGTGCAGAAAAAGAACAGAGACTTGCCATGTGTTTCACTGTGCTGAGCTTTCATGAGGGGATCACAGCGAGATAAAGTGGACTGCTCCATAGCGTATCATTATGACGAGAAGAGAGCCATACAGACAAGATCTGGCTTTGTAAAGCAGCCCAACACGCAAAGTAGTAGTTGGGAATTCAAAAAGCTTTTGTTGAATATTGGGTAGACAAAGGCAAAAACTCCCAAGTTGCCACGTCAGTGTGTTGTAGACATTCTTCAAAGCTGATTAAGTCAGACCGTCTTAGTTTGGTAGTTTCCCTTTCCTAAATAGCACCCGTTAGTGTCTTTTGCACTTAATTCACTTCACATTGCTACATAAGTCGCTGTAAATCTAAAAGGATTCATGTGATGCTGTGCTTTTATTCATTGTAGATAAGATGTGCAATAATTCAACTATAGTGTGTCTGATGTGAGAGTGAGTGGACCGAGAGGATGAGGCTGAAGAGTGAAATCATGAGATGGATTTGTATCAAAAAGCATTCCTAGTCTGTCTGTGCTTAAATTAATATGTAGACTGTCCGCTGTTTTTGTTACATTAACAAAAGAGTAACAGCATCTGCGGCTCGTTGTGTGATGCTGCATGTATGAAAGGTTGATATGTGTGAATAGAGGTCTGTTCTTTCTGCTCAAATAAACCAGGCCCTCATTAGTAAAGGTATGTATGATAAATGTGTATATTATTTTCTATTACTATTACTTACTATTTCCTGGTACATCCCAACTTGCTGAGGAAACACTGTCACCTAGAGGTGGAATGTAAACAACACAGAACCGAGGTTTATACCAGCGTTTCCCAGCAAGCGTCTCAAGATAGATTTTAGAGGTTGTTATTCATCAATCCTCTTACTGTTTAAATTTAAGAGTTTAACCAGTGGACATCAACATTTTGGTTGAAATGCTTGCAGTTCCTATATGTATGCGAATGTTTAAACCACTGATCCTAATAGAATATCTGGTAAAAACTTGACAATTAATTTACACAAACAAAAGGCAGATAAAATGAAGTCAGTCCACACACATTTCTTTCAAATTTTATTTCATGTTAATACCATAAATATACAAAACTCAAACTATTTCACATGCGACAAAGGCCAGACAAGAGTGCATTACGTTTTCTTTTTACACGTGATTGATAATGGGGATCAAATTTTCAACTTTACAAAATATACAAGTGTCCCTTTTGAATGAGTTTCTTCTCTGATTCAGTGAAATAACATGGTCACAGGTCAAAAACACAGTTTCGTGTCAGCAAACTTCAAACACGTCTTCCTGTACTGCAGACCAGCTCTCCAAATACATAAAAAAAATGACCCACTGTGGCATGGCTTCATATAACAACTGCTTCAAACTATAGATACATGGGAATCATGTGGGTTTATGTAGCAAAGAAAAGTTGTGTAATACATTAAAGTGAAACGTAGTAAGGGAACACATCACAGACCAAGATTTAAAAACAAATCTGTATGGACATTTGGTAGATCTCTCACAGCTTCTCAGGACTTGAAATAACACTTGAGGGAATTTTGTTTTTCTTCCATACCAATCATACACACATCCTCATCTACACAAGCACACCTCTCGCAGGATCAAGTTGCAAAGTCATTGAACACTTTTTTGTTTTTTTGTTTTTTTAAATTTAGCTGATGCTATGATCATGTCATTACAAAAACCACATAGACACAATACATTATGTAAAATCAAACAAAAACACAACTGAACTGCAAACAACTTAAATTACACCATAAATAAAAACAATGTTTGTCTTTTGCACTACGTTTAACGCAAAAATGAGAAATGTGCAATGGATTTAAAACAAAACATTTCCAAACAAAAACAATACTGCCAAGATGTAGGCTTACTATTTCCTGACTAATTACTGATCTTCACCTTGGTAGCACTCACAGGAGTGTTTCATCCACTATAGTGTTCAGTCAACATATTTATAATAACAGCAGTTCCAGTTGTCAGTCATCTATCTTGCACATCTTCAGACACGCAACACTATGTCAGTACGTCCATATTTCACTTCAGCGACAGCAGTCTGTACAACTCAGTGCTGAATAACACCGTTATTTTTGTATATAAATTAATGTATCTTCTTCTATCACAGAAAGTACATCAAGTCCAATCCTCTCTTATGGGTTAGCTTAATGTTCATTTTGGCTATGAAACTTCTGATGTCAGTAATCCAATACTAACAGGAAAGTCAGTGACTTTTTGTTTTTGACTGTAAAAATGCAAACGGACTGTTAGTCTTTGTGGTGTTCACACACGCAGTATCAGTGTTTTTACTATTTTTGTCTATATAGGATAGTCTTGAGAAAAATCATAGCTTTATCACTGTCCAGTTCATCTCCAGTGAGAAAAGGCTGCTCGCTTCTCTCAGTTCTCACTGTGTACGGTATGTGTCCTTTTCAACAGGAGACACGACAGCAGGAGGACGAGACCGAGCAGCTCTCAGAATCATAGCAGCGTTAGTTTTCAACCAAGTGTGAAAGGGTTACAAAAATAACTGAAGGAGAGCCATGTAGTAGTCTGTTAATGTCATACATACGTAAAAGGAAAATTAGATTATTTCACAAGTGTTTTCCCCTCTTAGTGCACAAGCCCATGAAAGCATCTGACTGAACCTCTTTAAAGTTTGTGCTGAGAACTGGTGACCTACTGACCGGGGGTGTTCAGTGCGTCTTCACAAATAGATCCGAACGTCATCAATCAGTCAAACAGCCACTGGGACATGCAATTACTTTACAGCTCGCTTCTCACAGAAACCGAGGGAAAATGGAGTAGGCAGACGTTCCCCTGAAACAGCTAACCCTGTAGCCTGAGGAAACGCTGACAGTGGACAGAATGACTTCTACCTCGAGTGTGCTAAACATGCATGTCACCGTCATGCTGTCAGATCTTAGTAAGCCACAGAGATGCTGACCCAGCCCACTTTGCCGATCAAAGTAGCACACAGAGAGGGAACAATTCAACTGACAAGTGTCACTGGAGCTCTGTTGGGAGCTGTGGGCAGGTCCTTAAATAAGAACATACAAACATATTCCTATTTATATGAATTAAGTTTTACCATAATGACAATGGTATTGTCTGAGAATAGAAGCACAGATATAGTACAAGGTAAAATTCGCCTTTCAGCTCTCAATGATCAAGCACTGGATTATTTAAAAAAAAAAACAAAAAAAAAAAAACAAGTCAGAGCCACAATTTTCTTAAAGTGAAGTACACATTCACACGCAGCCCCAGCCATTCAAACATACAGTATACTGTACTTTCGGTATGTGACCAAGAAAACAGAACTATGTGCAAAACACCATGATCAGATTATCACTTTTCATGACTCTATACTGTATTAACCAGGCAGGAAGCTGTTTGGAGGTCAACACCATGACAGAAATAAGGTATGCTTGAACTTCCATCTCTGCCTGACCTACGATCACCTCAAGGGGACAGAAGAACAGGAAAAGCAAAGGAGGGAGTAAAGAGAGTGTGAGATGAGATCCCGCACTCTCAGAGCACACCTTGAGTCACTAAGTGGGTGTTTCAAGGGATGTGAGCAAACAGTCACCTGACTGAAAAGCAGACAGGGTGGATGTAGGAGAGTTTTACTGATATATGTTAAGTGAGGATGGACAGCTCTGGTCACTTGTCTGTTACTTACATTACACTTTTTAAGCAAAGTGTAAAGGGCAATCTTAGCATTGCAACATTCATAAATAAAATCAATTTGATCAGAGAACCAGCAGGGCCAGAGCTGTGCATCGCCATCTTCTCAGTGTGTGTGTGTGTGTGTGTGTGTGTGTGTGTGTGTGTGTGTGTGTGTGTGTGTGTGTGTGTGTGTGTGTGTGTGTGTCTGTGCTTGTATGTTTGAACATGTGTGCATGTACCATACGCATGTGTGTGTGTGTGTGTGTCAGTTTATGGATGAGCTTTGAAGGCCCCACGAGCAGCATTGGACGCAGCATTAGCTGCAGCGTTGGCGGCCGCAGTCTGAACGGTCTTGTTGGACATGACTCCGGTTGCAAACTCCTGCTGAGCCTTCTCAAAACTAGCACCGGTGGTACGATAGAGCGCGTGCACCTGGAAAGAGCAGAAGAGAAAATGAGCTGGAATCAAATTAAGCTATTTAAATCTACCAGGCACAGCAGTGTATGATTCAGCTGGGCAGATATCTCACTTCATACATTTCAGGTACAGTGTATTAATCACAGCAACAGGCTGGGAGTACTTTGTGATTATGTTACCTTTTTAAACATAATGAGCGAGCCCACGGACAGCGCAGTGAACAGAGCTGCAATCAGTAACATGATGATGCCCACTGGGATACTGGTGTTCAGGCCAGTTAAAGCTGCGATCCAGCCACTGGCAAAAACAAAACAGTTTACAGTGTGAGTTAAATTAAGTGCACTCTCACAGAGGTACAGAATAAGTAAAAGCACTTAAACACTTACCACGTTCCCCAACCAGTGATGCCAATAGTTTGTAGAACATGAACTCCGAACTGACAGATATAGACGAAGAAGAAGACAAAGAAGCGGAATGAACTGTCACTCCTGTTGTGGAGACAGAGAACGAGGTTGTCAGACATGGCAGTGTGGAGGTAATAAAATGACTAAAAGGCATTTCTTCAACTCTGTCACTAATTCACCCTGTATTAAACATTAATTCCTCTCTACTTCCCTCAGTCTGTGAAAGTCTGCCTTTATCCATGTCTTTACATGGCACTCTCTTCCAGTGCAGAAAAGATTCTTGGGAATTAGTAAGTGCAGGGTTGGAGATTGAGATGTCTTCTATAATGCCAAGAAATAACAGCATTTACAAAGTCAACCTCTTTTTGTAGTTTCATACTTGGAGCAGTTACTACTTTTTTTCCTTATCAGCACAGGGGTGTGTCTGTTTCTTTGTAATGCTGCAGAAGATAGTGTAACTTTCCATGCATCTGCTCACCTGAAAGCCCCGTAGAGCGGTCTGTACCAGCAGACAAAAGAACAGGGGGTGAACAGCAGAAACCATAGCATGGCCAGGCCAAAATCTACACCACGAGTTGCATCCACACAGAACCAGGCCAGGCAGCCAAACATGTTCACAAAGAGCGTGCCTGCATGAACTGGAAAAGAGACAACAAAATCAAGAGCTTTAGTGTCATCTCAGTACCAGGACACAGTGAAAATATGATTTATGATTAGACAAAATCATTAAAATCTCTAATGTCTTTGTGATAAGTGATCAGACAAATGTGTTTGATCAATGTTATTTGAAGATTCTGCATTTGGCTTCTCTTACAATGCAATACATGGGTTCGTGTTGAGAACCCACATGTTCTAGGGAGTGTGATAGAGAACTGAAATAAATGGCAACGATTATATTCACCGGAACAGGAGGCAATACTGCCCATTTTGGGATGTGACAGATGATCCACTTACACATCCAAAGGTTGTACATGATCTTGACCGTCTTCTGGAACTCTACAGGAATGTCCACTGCAATGTCATGGTAGAAACAAGGGCCAACGGGGAACTTCTCTGGCAGTGGAGGCCAGTTGTTCTTACGCCCTGTATGAACAGAGGCAAAACAGTGTTTGGATGATTAGCCATAGATAGATAGATAGATAGATGGATAGATAGATATATACTTTATTCATCCCCTAGGGGAAATTCATGAATATTTTACTCTGCTGGGAGCTGACATTTATTTTTAGTTTAGTTTATTTGGAAAAATGGGAGAAAGGGACCCAAGGGCACACATGACTGCAAAATGCCATGGATAACAACAAAGCAATAAAGTCCAAGACTTATTTCCAGTTGTTGGACTGCTGAGTGTCTAGGAGGCTGGTAACCCTAACATTTATGGCAGAGATATTATGCAGTTATTTTGAATGGAATCATCCCCCATACGATGATTCATAGCAGCATAGAAAAAAACCAAACAAATGACTCTCCCATCAAGTATACGTTTAACTTTACTTAATTCCCTTAATTTATTTATATTATTAACTAATACTATTCTAAATTTAACCAAAAATTCTAAAATACATCAGTGAAGTCCGTACCAAATTGTGAAAGAGAACATAATCAGACAGATAGAATGCTTCAGAGTCAATATTGATGCTTCCATAGAAATAAATGAACATTGTTTCATGTATATGTAAAATGCAGGCCTTTCTCAAAGTGCTTTCCTGTCTGCATTTGTGTTCTTGTGGACTTGTGAAACATCATCAGTCACAGCCAAAGTGCTGCTCCAATTCAAAGTCTGCATCTAGCTGAGCCAGTCCAAATGAACAGAAGTGTTGTAGCTCCATCTGTTTTAATCAGGATACTTTGGGAATTGATTTGAATTGGCTTGGGAGTGGTCAGGTTTCCCAAAATGCACTATGTGCCAAAGTTATAATATTTGTTCTAGGACCGCTATGATGTTATTTTATTAATTTTTCATATATTTTCAGAAGATAAAGCAACCATGGGATTTTGAATTTGTGGTCAGTATATCCACATCATGCCTATATGGAATTTTGCTCTGACATTTGTGAGACGTGAGGACCCAACAGGCATTTTGGTGGCAAGCAGCCTGGCCACTGAGATGATTAGCTGGTAAACGTCCGTCATCATCCCAGTCTAATCTGGTAATTTACTAATGGTTGTGACGTCTCTGTAGTGTTTTGATATATGACATAATTACTTTTGGAAGAAAGTTTGGTCTGTTTGAAGGTACAGTTAAAGTTCATGTTTTTACTGGACAGTTCAACATTGTAGAACAGATCTGCCTCTGTGGACTTTCAGCTTCTTTTATGTTCAGATATCACCATACTTAAATAAAAATCAATATATATATAAGTGAAAATAAACGTGTGCTGTTATATAGTGATAGTGAAGACATCTACTGCCCCAACTGCGAGCTGACTGCTCTGTGTCCCCCCCCGTCCTCACTGGTTTAGACTCAAGTTGGAACTCCTAAGTGGCGGCGCATTCTGTGTTGAGGCCTTATGCGGCTCAGAAAGTTCTAATGTTCATCACAAATGGAATGCTGAGCCAAATTATGTTGTTGCCATGGTAACACGTCAACTGTCTGAGTCTTATCAACACCGCCATGAAGCTAGCTTTGATTGGTAATGACCACTCAGACTCTGAGGTTAATGTTAGGGTAAGTGAGCGTATAAAGTGGATGACTGATGGACTGGCTGACTGACTGACTGACTGACTGACTGACCTCCCGCGGCTCCGTGGGACTGTAACTCTCTCTCCCGACGATCAAGCTCTGCTGCTTTCTTCTCCAACTCCTCCTGCCTTCTCAACAACTCAGCCTGAGCACGTGCTTGGTCCTAACACAGACACAGAAATGCTCTTAAAATTCACTACCCAGCATCTGACAGGGGTTATGATATCCAATAAGGTAAGTAATGAAAGATATTTTCCACTCAGGTAAGCTTGGGTGTGTAAGTTTAAGAAGGAGAAAAGAGGTTAGGGTTGGAAAAGCAATCAACTCCTATTGTCAACTCACTTGTCTTCTCCAGTTAGTACTAAACTAGCTCTAAAATTGTTCTGCAAAGGGAAAGCTACAGGTGGGAAAAAGGCATTAAATGAATTCACACTATTCAAGACAGTGACATGAAGGGGTGCAGGAGACATCAGATGAAAGACAGTACCTCATTGCGCCGCTGTTGGGCCATCAGAGGACAGATGAGTATATGAAGGACAAGAGGAAAGGTGAACCAGAAGCAAAGACAGAGTCTGCATAGTGTTATAGTGTTGTGAGTCTAAATGTTGAGCGCATATGTTGTTAACCTAGCCTGGAAAAAATAAAACTAGATGCAATCCCATGTATATGAGCATGTTTCTTTGTGTAGTACCTGAGTCTGTTGCTGTGAATAAGCCGGCGGCTCTTCTGTGGGCTTCATGATGGCAGGTTGTGTGTTCTGGGAAGGGGCAGGAGTAGATTTGGGGGCATTTCCGGGGGCTGCCTGTAAGCCAGCATAGACATACTATGTTAATATTTGTGCAATCAAAAGACAGACCCTGAATCAACACTGTAATTAGGCCACAGTCATATTTTGTCAGTGAAATCCTCTGTGACTGAGAGGTGGAGGAAGAGAGAAAGAGGGTAGTGGATAAAATGAGGTCACTGACTCAGAAACACACAAACGCATGCACTCTCTCATCAATAGCGATGCTAGTTAAGCTGACCGTTCTGGCGTCTGTGAAGGGGTTATACTCCTCCAGACCACCAGGAGGGGCAGACCGGGTCACCTGCGTCACCGAAGGATCCTACAGGACAGAGAGGGTTTCAGGGGGTAAAAACTACAACCACAAAATCAAAAGTTTAGTTGTTGCTGTTTTTAACCAACCTACAAATTGTATGAAAAACCAAGTTAACCACACATTAACTGGGTCTATTAATTCTCATGTTCTGACCAGTTATTGTTGTGCTGACAATAGGTAAGGAATAAACAGAAACCAGGGTGTGCATGCAGCACAATAAAAACATTAATGTTACAAATAAAGTGGTCTTTCTTGATCTTGTGGCCATTTGAAATACTATGAATGGGATCAGGTGCACAGGGAACTGGAAAAGGCCACTAACAACATTCACGCATGTCAGGAAAGTCTCTCATAGTCTATGGTGGCCCCAACATGTGCAATCGAGCTAACAACCTGCATCTTAACTCCACCCACTAACAAGCACACCCCTCAAATAGAGGGGCGGGACTCAACAGTTGAATCACCTGCTGAGGTGTAAACTGGCACACTATCGGCAACCTCTGGTCTGTGGCAAAAGGTAGGACGGTTTACAAGGGAGAACAAATCCCACTGTACATCATGTATAACTGACTGCTGTAGCACAAATAAAGAACCTGTTGTCTGCATCTGGCCTACAATGAATAAGAGGCTAGATGGAAAACAAACAACCATTGTCTTTACTATCAGAATTTTGAATGTGGAAGTAAATGGTTTACGGTATCACTCCACACTACGGAAAGCAAGAAGTCGATACATCGGTATTAGTGTATATTCTTTACGACGTTCATAAGGGTAGTGTATTACATTGATGCAAAGGCAGCTAAATATATACTGGAACACTGCTATGACAATGTACAAATTCAACAAGACGTTTAAATGTCATAAGCCTGCGGCCCTGCAATATTTGGAAATAAGTAGACACACAATTTAAAATGATGCTAAGAGGTAGCTAGCTGGCTAGCTAGCTAACATCATGTGTCTTTGTTCTTAGTTTGCATAATCGTTATTGCAACGTTAAAAACAAACAGCCTCAGCAGCAACGTGCTAGAAAATCCTTCGTAGCTTCCTTTACGACACCAACAGCGATTATTATGTGTGAGTGATGGATAATGTAGATGATGATTAGCTCGGTCCGCTACCTAGCCGTACACCAAGGAAAACCTCTAGCTAGCCGTTAGGCTATTCGCTACGACAGCCAGCAGGGATGCTAACGTAAAACTGGCCTCAATGGGTTTCCTAGCGTACGCTAGCCGGCTAGCTAGCCAAGTTAGCTACCTGAAAGGGGTTGCTGAAGTCCGGGTCTGCGAATGGGTTGCTGTCAAAATCGGACATTGTGTAGCCTTTCTAATAACAGTTTACTAGCTGAAAGAGCTCCCTGATTCTCCAGGGAAGGTTCGGTCCCTTGATTTGACTGCCTCTCTCTGCTGCCTGCAGTCTTCCCCGCCTCCTGCTGATGGAGACCCTTTGCTTAGCAAGCTAGCCAGTAGCAGAAAAATGGCAGGAGAGGATGCGTGATGAACGGCACCATCTACGTCATTGCTTCAGCACCGCGGACAGCATGACGTCTGGACAGGTACAGTACATTTGAACACACCGCTGTAGTACAGGGATGAATTATCTCTGCCTTGTTTTACAATGCAAGTTTGTACTTCACAAAAATCATATTTTTCTATTGAAACATGAACACTGATGATTACATCGCAGTAACCTAAATAAGCCACTCATTTAGTCATTCACTTTGAGCCAGGTTAACGTATAAAGAGGCCTGGGGGTAAACATTTGGTGTTTGGCCCCTATAGACCCCCATCCCCCCTTCTCCCACCTTCTGTGAATTGTTTATCCAGCTTCCTTGCCTCTAAGTTTCCATTAAGTACAGTGCAAGCAGCAGTACATGGGTGTTCCATTATTTACCCAGACACAACAATCAACCAGTGCTCCTATGGTGAAACATTACTACCTGGCCCTGTGTGTTCTGTGTAGGTTGCTGGTGTACTTAGTGGTGCAATAGTTGATAGTGGTGCAAATTCTCTGACACACATACCTTTATGCAAATTGCCAAAAACCAACTGTCACTCAATCAGCCTGAGGAGCTTTTGGAGACCCAGGTTGAATTTTGTTTTATTTTAACAAACATGTAATTTCCTCAAATATCCCTCAGGCCTGTTGGCAGAGTGAGGTACAATTACTCAAGTACTGTACAATTTTAAGGTATTTAAATATTTCTGTTTGTATTCTACTGTACACTTGTCCTTCCCTGCATTTCAGAGGGGGCTATTGTACTTTTTACTCCTGCGTTTATTCAACAGCTACAGTTACTTTGAAGATTGAGAAATTAGATACTAACTATATGATACTCTTATAAATATGATGCATTGCTTTACATAAGAATGTCAAACATTATATTAATAATCTGTCACCTGTGTACCTTTACGTTTATCTTAAATATGGACTTTTACATGTAATGCAGTACTTTTACTTTTATGTTCTCACAGTTATGATCTCAGTACTTCTTTCACTGTTTCGTGCTTGTACTCTATTTACAGTGGATTAACATTTTTATCTTTGAAAAAGTTGTCAAATTTATAGTTGCTTACTAATACACTCACCATCTTTGTTTCTCAGACATACTGAGAACACACCCTATAAAAAGTTGAAGATCGAAATTTTAATTCAGTGTACACTGAGGGGAATATTTCTACAAATTTTAAACTTTTAAACTAAAATAAAACAGAACACTATTATTATATTGTATTATTATTTTCCCAGGTCTGATTTTTACACCATCCCTGTGTTCATTCTTGTACATGTATACAGTATGCACGCTACACAGCATTTGAGCTCCTGTAGGTCAAATACCACAGCAATCTCCTCCACTTGATGATTATGATGATTATGTTAATGATGATAATGATGATGAGTATGATGATATATGGAAGTGTCTGCTGCTCAGTTGGTTGCTTATGCCTGTGAAAAAGAGCTTGAGAGGCGAACTCAGACTGCCTAATTCATGATATGTACCAGTGACCCCTTTTATTCAGCAGCAATCCCAGACAATTTACTGGAACTCATTTTATCTCACTTGTCCCAACAAGACGTATCAGACCCCCTTTGAGCTCCTGTGGTGTGTGTGTGTGTGTGTGTGTGTGTGTGTGTGTGTGTGTGTGTGTGTGTGTGTGTGCGCTTTTCCACGTTTGCTTTGAGAGTCTGTAAGTTACCCAAAATGCCCACTTGGGGGAGCTATGATCCAGTATGTCTCCTCAACCCATTTTGCAGAATCCTTTCTCATTTGCCATCAATTTATTCTCATTCAAACGAAGGGTGACCATGTGAAGAACATCAGATCAGTTGACAGCCTGTAAATGTGATTTAAACATTTAAGCACCATTTACCCAGATTAAGTTTCAATTGAAGAACAAATGCTATTAGGTGGAAATCTTACAGTATGTGGTAAATGATGGAGCTTAGGATATTCCCTTTTATTGTTTGAATCCTACTGCTCACATTTAGTAATACCCTAACACCCAAATGCCTTTAACCTAAACACATTTGCCTCTGTTAATAAGTAATTGTGCACCTTTTATACACAGCTATTATACTCTATTCTGGTTTATGTACTGTACCTATAGACTGTGCCACGCTGATAGACTAAACACAAACTACAGATTCATTACAATTCAACTCCTGTCCACAAACACATACACACACACACACACACACACACACACACACACACACACACACACACACACACACACACACACACACACACACAAAATGAGCATCAGTTCCCTCCCTAATCTTGTATTAATGGACCCAATCACAGACTCTATGAATAATCAATGGCCAGTGGTCTGCAACCGCAGTGCTGAGACCTTGAGTGAAACTGAATTTTCCTAATAAGACACACACACATATATACACACACACACATACATACACTCACACACCTTTAGGCCCTAATAAGCACTAATGCACTGTGGGTTGAGAATACGTCACATGGTTTGTTTGCTGCAGAATTTGAAAGATAAACATGCTGTTCCAGGCTGTGCAATATGTGTGTGTATGTATGTAGTGTGTGTGTGTGTGTGTGTGTGTGGTGGGGGGGTGGTCGGTGGTGGTAAGAACAGTGTGAAAACTAGGACCTGTCTGCCCTTGTCCACTCCCTCCCGACTCTCTAATGCTGCTCTCCTCAGATGACTCTGTGTGGAAACAACCGCTTTGGCTAATAGCTGCTGCATTAGTCTCTTAACCAGCTGGTCATGGCCATTTAGAAATGTTCATTAGGTTGCAGACCAGAGTGGATAGGTGTGATAGTTCACTCCTCACTGTTGACTGTAGAAAGACAGAAAAACAGACAGAGAGTGGGGCAGAGAGAGAGCGACAGACAGACAGACAGACAGAAGGAGAGAAGCAGGGAGAGAGAAGCAATTTACTGGCCAACATGACAACCAAGTGTTAAAAGCTGCAGATGCAATTATCATATTGCCCTGAATAAGAACCGTGTGCATAATTAGATCTCATTAAGGTCTATGAGTGTTATTTTAGGGCTCTGAAAGGTTGGATAAGCAGGACTTGATATTATGGGTTATTAACGCTACAACATCTGGTGCTGTTCTGGCAATATTCTGACAATCATTACAACCATATAGTAAAATACAATGTAGAAATATTTTTATATTAATATAGGGAGATGGAAATTTACTGTAGGCTGTATAAGTAAATGGTAATGTATAGCTCTATATATGGTGTGTATGCATGTGAATTTGTTTGTGCTGATGACCAGTCAGAGCACATTACACACCGCTGAGGGAAACAGCCCTCTGTCGCCGGAAAAGCGATTGATTCTCCATTTCCATATTAATGAGCAGATTTGTTAAGAGCCTGCAGGAGAGGGAGAAAATAACAGGGTCTTCATAGGGCACGACATTTATAAATAAAGCTGATGCAGAGAAAAATGGAAATTAAACCTTTTAGTTTAATAAATTTGAGGCGTCCGCAGCAAAGCGAGCGATTTGCATTTCCATTTGTGGCCAAATAATGAGAGTGCGGGTCCATGATGAGCCTGCTTGTGCTGCTTTCGGGTCTCAAACAGTCAGACAATCACTCCAGCGTGCAGCCCTCCACATCAATGTCATTAGCTCAGGCCTGTTAACTCTGCTACTTGGCTTTCTAAGATTATTTGGTGAACTAGAGATTCTTATTATCACTTTGAATGAAGAATAGGATTGTGCACAAAGTAAAATTTATTCACTTCTCTATTCCTTCTATTTCCCAACCAAGGTGTGTGTATATCTTTTCCCCTTGAATATTCAACATCCTCTATACATGCAGGTGTCACTTTAAAATGATCTTTTGTTGTTCTAAAACAACTCTGTCAGAAAGAGTCTCTGTCTTTCGCTCTGCCTCTCTCGTGGAGTGCACGTGCACTTGGACACACGCAACACACAACTCCCACACATACACACAAAGCATCACTGATTGAATTTATTGGGGAATGGATGTTGACTAGACCACTCCAAGTAGGCTAGATTGTTGTTGTTCCCAGATTGACAGACAGACCCAGAGCGGCTGATTGAAAGTGCCTTTTAGCTTGCTCTCACTGTATATTTGATTTGGCAAAATGGAAGGGGAGTCCAGTCTTTTCCCAGGATGCAAACACAAGTCCCTGTGTTTGTGTGGGGGTATGTGTGTGTTTGTGTATTTGTGTGCGCCATGCGTATTGACTAGTGAATGCTTTAGTAAATGCTGCATAAAATGTACCCCTTTCAGGTATTAATTGAATAATGCAAGCACTCCTCTTGTCAGCCATCAAGTGGGCCACTTTCTCAGTGGCCTGTGCTGTTCTGCTTGCCCGTGAATTGACTAGATTTATCTGTGTTGTTCCAGCCAATGGATGCCATTTGTTCCAAATGTTTGACATAAACATGCAAAGAGCAGAGGCGTGCACTCATAAAATAAGCTTCCAGACTGTTGTTTTACAGCCCAAAGGGACCGATGGTAGGGTGGAGGGCGGGGGGGGGGGGGGGGGGGGGGGCGATGATGGAGGATCTGAAAACAATAAACCTTAAATCTCAGGTGTTTCCTCTGCAGACCAGAGCTGCAACTAACTATTCATTTCATGATTTATTAATCTGACAGGTATTTTCTCGATCGATTGATCAGTTATTCGGTTCACGTTCGATTCTCCAAACGTCTCTTTCGGTCCAGAATCCAAAGAGATTCAGTTTCTGAGGCAGAAACCAGAGACAGAGAAGATCAGAGACACCAGAGGGCCGGGAACAAGAACC